GAATCTAGGTAAAAAAACATCCAAAATTAGGAACTTTTTAAGCTTTTGGAAACTTCTTCTAACGATGAAAAGAAAGAAGAAGAAAAAGTAAATTTGAACGAATAATATAAGTAAGAAATTTAAGATTTAAATGAAAAAAATATGTAAAATATTTAAGATTTGAACGAAAAGCATATGTAAGAAATTTAAGATTTAAAATAAATCTATGAGAAAGATCTTAAATTATGCCAAGAATAATTCTCAGAAAAAGAAATTAATTATGAGAGGCAAATTAGGAATCTAAAAGAATAAATAAATAACTAAACTGATAAAAACGAAGAGAAATTAAATCTTATTATTTCTTAAAATGAACTTATTTTGAAGAAAAATCTCGCCCATACATAAAATATTGAAAATGAATATAAAAAATAATTGGAAAAATAAAAATAAGGTAATTGTGAATTAATAGAAAGGGTTAAGAATTTTTAGAAACAAGAAAAAGCTTAAAAATAAGAAATTTCTACTTTATAAGATCACATAAAACAACTCTAGAATTTAATTATTGAAAATAGAAATGCTTATTATAAAGAAAGGGAAATTCTTGAATTAAAAAGCAAATTAATATAAGAAGAAAATGAAGAAAAATAGAATTAAAGTTTAAAATAAACTAAGGAATTTAATGAAAAGATAGAATAAATTTTAAAAAATTAAGAAAATATAGAAAAAATGAATTTGAGTAATTTTGAAAAAGAAAAGGAGTAACTTTAAATTGATTTTTAAGCAAAAATATACAATTTAGAAAAAGAAAAAGAAAATAATTAATTTAATTATGATGAAAAAATAATAAAATTTGAATAAATAAAAGAAAATGCTAATTAATAAATTAAGGAATTAGAAAATTAAAATAATGAATTTTTATAATAAAAATAAAACTTTATTAATTAAATAGAAGATTTATAATAATAAATAGAAAATTTAAATTAAAAAAATTTTTAATTAATTTAATCTTATTAATAACTAGAATAAGAAGAATGTAAAAAAATATATATATAATAAAATATATATATATATATATATATATATATATATATTATAATATATAATATTTTTTTTTATACTTAATATATTATTATATATAATTTTATTTTAAAAAAAGAAAATTTATAAAATTAATAACAGAAAATATAGAATTTAGAAAATTAAATTAAAGAAAATGAATAACTTTATTCGAAAGAAATATAAAAAAAAGAAAAAATTTAAAAAGAACTACTAAATCAAATTAATATTAATGAATTGAATAGAAAATAAATATTCGAGTAAGTTGAAGAAGAATAAAAACGATATTTAGAACAGATTTAACTTTCAAAATAAAACTAATAATTGATTATTGAAGATTGTGAACGTTTAAAATAATAAGTTTTATATTTATAAGAAGAAAATAGATTACTATATTAATAATAAGATAACGAAATAAATAATAAGTCGATTTAGAATTCAATCATAATTAATAATTCTTTGAGAAGTAGTGAATGTAATAATAGTAATTTTAATTATTTAAATAATAGCAATTAGACTTAATTTGGAAATTTGAATATGAATTCTTTAATTGGACTTAATCAAAAATAAATAATAGAAGTTGTTGAAAACACTTACATATAAAAATTATAAGAACAATAGCATTTTTATTAAAATTAATTAGAATAATAAAATAAAGAGTTTGAAAAAATTGTAAAAAATAAACAAGAATATGTCGTATCAAGAGAAAAACTTAAATAATCATAAATTTAGTCTGATTAATAATAATAATAAAAATATTAATAGTAATTTTAAAGTTTTTAGTAATCATTTATAAATAAAAATAAAGAAAATTTAGATGAAAAGAGTAATATTCATAAAAAATAAATGAGTTAATGTAATTTCTAAAATAATATACAGGTTTAATATGTAAATAATAATTTTAATACTAATTTTAATAGTATTTATTCTATGAAAAATATATACGAAAAAAACGATTAATAAAATAATAATCTTTATAATAATAATAATTAAAATAATATACCAGAAAAGAATGATAGCTTTTTATCTAATTATAAACTTTTTTAATCAAACGTAAGTATAGATAATGATTTCTTGTTAAAAGATAACACTTTAAAATTAAATTAAAAAAAAAATTATATAAGTTTAAATGAAAATGATGAAATTGGAAATAGTAATATAAATACAAACAATAATATAAGCAATAGTATTAATTTGAATAATAATAATAATAATAATAATAATAATAATAATAATAATAATAATAATAATAACACATTTAACAATAGATATTAAAGAAGTATTACAGAAAATAAAATATTTTTTACTTAAAAATTTAATAATAACAAATAAAATTGAAAATAAATTAAATATAAATAATTTCAATTATTTTAGATTTATTTTTCTCTTTTTTTATAAATAAATAGTAATATATTTATTAATTTATTTGTTTTTTACTTATTATCTGATATGTGATTTTTTTTTATAAAGTATTAATTTTAACTTAATTTAATTTTAATTTTTTTTAATTTTAGTTTTATATTTTTTGTTTTAATATTAACGAAATATATTCATTAATATAATTAAAAAATATATATAGATATTATCTTATTTACTACAATTTAATTAATTATTTTAAATAAATTGATATTATATGATTATTTTATATTTTAATTTTATAATTTTATTTTTTTAATTATAAAATAGCTATATCTTTTTTATCATTTTTAATATAAAAAATGTTAAAAAAAATTAATTGCAAATAACTTGTTCAAATCCTAATTTGAATTACGGAATTTAATATTGTATATTTAAGTATTTTATATTATTTTTATAATAATATTATAATTTATTTAAAAAATAATTAAAATCAATTTATCCCTTGATTTTTTTAATAAAATGTAATAAAATAAAAGCTTTATATACTAATTTTTTAATGCTAATATAATCAAGTTTAATTTTGTATTTTTTCGATATCTTTATTTCAAATATAAAAAAATTGCTTACATAATTAAAATATATTTTTAATCTTTAAATTAATTAAAAATAAGGAAAATTAAAAATACTTAAAATGGAAGTTGAACTAATACAAGAATGTGATGATAGAAATAGAAAATCAAATAAAAAAGATTGAATTTTAAAGAAAAGAAATTAAGAGAAGAAAAAATTATAATAAGAAATTAATAAAGATAATAAGCTATAGAATCTAGTGAAGAATTAGAACCAATTGAATAATAAAAAGTTCCTAAAAAATAGAAAAAAACTCTATCAAAAGAAGAAAAAAAAAAAATTATGAATAAGATATGGCATAAAATATGCCTTAATCAAGATCTAAAAAAATGAAATGCTTTTAAAAATAATGAAAAAAAAAATATTATGATATCATTTATTTTTAAATTAATTATAATTTTTTATTTTTATGTAAAAAGGTTGAATTATATATTTTCTTTTATAAAAATATTTATTTTTATAAAATAATAAATAATATGCATTTCTTTATATAAAATAATAATGCTTGTAAATATTTTATTTTTAAATAATTTAAAGTACATTAACTTACAAAAACATTTTTTTAATAAAAAATTTAATTTCCTTATTTTCGTAAACATAAAATTTAAAAACACTAAATTCATTTCTTTATTATTAATTGCTTTATTACTAGTATTAATAGTTTAGGATATTCCTTGTCAATATTTAATATAAAAAGTAATTTCAATATATGCTAATTGTAAGAACTTTCATTATTTTTTGGAAAGTGCTTATTGCTTACATATTAAATATATTAAAAATATGTATATAAAATCATAATAAATATTTATAAATAAAAATATAATCATTTTTAGCTTATGTATTCAAAATTTTTTATTTTTAATTCCTTTATTTTTAAAAAATTATAAATATTGATAAAATTTTTTTTTTTCTATTAAATTATTGGGTTTTATGGGTAGTATATGAATAAAAATATTTGTTGTTGTTTATTTATTTAGCTTTAAAATTTTAAAATTTATTAATTTCGTATAAAGATTCTATTACTAAAGAAATTTTACTGCTTTCATAAAAAGTTTTAATTTTGTTCAATTATAATAGGCGGCTTTTTATCTTGAAATTTTTATATTGTAATTTTATGGATTTAATCTAGCATATTATATAAATGGGTTTATTTTGTTTTTTTTTCTTTTATTTTGTTTTATGAATAAAAATATGAAATAATAGTTTAAATTTAATGTATTTAGTCATTAGAATAGTTAAGGTTATTAAATATAAAATGAAAATGATGTTAAATTTAATTTAAAATTAAGAATAATCGTTATATTATTTTTGATAAATAAAAAATATATATAGTATTCATTTTTAGGATTATTTTTTTTTATTTGTAAATAATTATTTATTTATTTTATAGTATTTTATTTTTGGTGAATATTTATAATTTTATATTGTTTTTGTAAAATATATAAAATCTAAAAAAATAAAAAAAAATAAAAAAAAATTGTTATAATTTCGATGCAAAGGTTCTAAGAATTATGTAGTATCTATTTTAATAAGTATTTTAAAATATTATTTTATTTATTTAAAATAATTATTTATATAAAGAATTGTAACAAACATATTTTTCAGAGAAATCTTAATAATTGGACAAGAAAATATTCCTAAAGTAATATTTTTTTTTATTTTATTTTAAATAAATAATCATTAGTATTTAATAATCATAAAAAAAAGGATGCCCCAGTAATAATATGTGGAAATCATAATAATTAATTTATTGACGCATTAGTAAAAAAAATATAAAATATTCAATTATTTCTTTTTATATTTATTTTCATAATATTTTTTTTTTACTAAATAATTCTAATTTTTTAAAAAATTCAGCTTATAGGTTCTACAGCCAGTCGAAAAGTTCGTTTTATAATGGCAGCATCAGTAAAAATATTTTAATATTTTTACATAAACAAAATAAATCTTTCTTTTTATTATTTCCAAACTAGAGTATGAGACGTCTTTTACATGGCACTTTAGCTAAATTTTAAGGTTGTATACCAGTAGAAAGACCCCGTGATTTAGCCAAATTAGGAAAAGGCTAAATAATAGAGATAAAAGACAATATAATGAAAGTATAAAAAATTAAAATTTATATTTTCATTAAAAAAAAAAGGGAAAAAATACGTAATTTACATAAGAAATCAATAAAGGGACTTAAATAATTTTAAAAATAATTTAGGAATAAATAAGAGTCCAAGAAGTCATAAATGATATCGAGTTAAAATTAACATATGAAGGAGTTTTAGAATCTTTCGAAAATATAAATGAAAGTTTCAAAATATGTCCAGAAATAGATTAGTCTCGTTTATTCGGATATGTATGGAAAGCTCTGAGTAGAAAACAATGTATAGGAATATTCCCAGAAGGTGTTTCTCATGATTCTACTGATTTGTTTCCTTTAAAAGCTGGTGTATGTATTATGGCATTAGGCTCAATGTAAAAATATAGAAATAAAGTTTATATTGTACCTTGTGGTTTAAATTATTTTAAAGGACATCGTTTTAGATCAAAAGTAACAATCGAATATGGATAAGTATTTGAAGTTCCTTATGAATTAGTAGAGTTATATTAGACTAATAAAAGGGAGGCTATATCTACTTTAATAATGGAAATTGAAAGTAGGATGAGATAAGTAGTTTATACAGCAAAAAATACATCAGAAATATAGGCTATTTTATTAGCGAAAAGACTTTATGTTTAATCTTATGAATAAAAGGATAAATCTCATCTACTTTCAAAATAGTTTATGAATGGATATAGAAATATTAAATCACATCCTGAGTTTTTGTAGTTGATGGCTTAGTGTAAAAATTATAATTAAATTATGGATAGCTTCTCTTTGACAGATGAGGAAACTGTTAAAGATTTCAAAAAGGGATATTTTTTGGGAATTTTAGGAATTCTTTATTCTGTTTTTAGAATTATGATTTCTTTATTATTTGTAAAAGAAAAAAAACTAATATATTAATATATTGTTTTTTTTTTATTATTAAAAATAATTAGTCTTTCCCTGGTATTATTTCAAATGCACCTATAGGTTATTTTTTAAGGTATAAAGCTGAATAAGCAAGAGCTAAAGAAGCTTAAGGATGGCCTTCTCCATGTTTGGATGTGGTAGCATCTTATAAACTTTCCTTTGGACTTATTTTGGTACCTGTTTGGTTTTGGATTTATTATATTTTTTTGTATTTTATTTTGAAAAATTATGTATTTTCGGAAGAAGATTAATAATATTTAGTTTATTTAATTGTTGGCTTGTTTGTTTTTATATATCCATTCTATTCTTATAGTATTTTTTTTAATTTAATTAAAATTAATTATTTTAATATTTTAATATTTAATTTTAGTTGTACTTAAATTTTTTGATAGTATTAAAAAACACTTAAAATTTATAAGAGCAAGTTTTATTTTTATGACTAAAAATGTGAAATTGGAAGAGCAAGAAAATCAAATTAAAAATTAAATTAGAAAAATGATTGATTAATTTTAACAAGAATATTAATAAAACTTAAGTTAAGAAGAAAAAGTAGAAAGTAAAACAGAAAAAGCTATTTTTAAATAATTGCATAAAGTTAAAGAAATCTTTAGTTATCCTTTAAAAAGGTATATTTTTTATATTATAATAAAAAAAAAAACAATAAATTTATTATTATTTAGAATTGCATAAAAAATTTAATAGAAAATTTATTTGGATATGTATATGGATGATATTTATAAATATTTAGATAAAAAATGTTAACATTCTTTAAATAGTGAATCTGAATACGAATTAGAATCAGATTATTATTGATTAAATTATATAAAAAATAAAAATAAATATACATAAAAAAATTAAAAAAAAAATTTATTCATATGTTAGTATTATTTTTATTTTATCCATAAATTATTAATTTAAAACTAAAACTTTTAATTAAAAAAATAACCATGTATTTAATAAGAACATTATTAAAATCACATATATCTGTCAAATAAAAATATACAATTTTATAAAAGTTAAATAATAAATAAAAATATGGAAGTATTCAAGACTTTTATAATATATTTAATCCATTTATTATTTATAAGTTACGTGCTTTTTGATTATTTCTACTTAAGAGAAAAGTTATTTCCTATAACCCTACCTGTTATAAAATATATTTAATAGAACTTTTCCACCTATTATTTTATAAAATTCAACTAATTTATAGCTTTACTTATAAAACCAGACTTTTGTGCTTTATTTAGTGTATTTTATATAAGTATAACCAGCAATAAATATAAAGCTGTTAAAACATTATTATTTTAAATTTTTGGTTTATATATGCTTCTTTTCTTCAAAATATTAATGAATGATCCTCGTCCATATTTTGTTGATAATGAAATTAAATGTTATGAATGTTATGCTGATTTTGGAAATCCGTCAGGTATTTTAATTTATTAATATATATATAAAAAAATTTATTATATAATAAAAAATAGGACATGCAACATGCGTGTGGATGTTTTATGGTATTTTACTAACTGATATATATAATGATGTCAAATTTAGTAAAAACAAGTCTTTAGTAAATATTTGCAAGTATTTATTTTTGGGTATTTTCTTGTTTTTGTAAGTATCGATTGTTTTTTGTAGAATTTTTCTAGGTGTACATTCTTTTAACTAGGTTCTTTTAGGAACTGTATTTGGGATTTATATATATTTGATTTACCTCTTATAATGTAATGATTTAGTGGAACATGTATTTAACTTTTTGAGAAATACTAAAATTTCTAAAGTTAAAAAATTCATAAGATTATTTTTTGGATTTGTTTTAGCAATCTAAGTACCAGTTTTTATTTACTAATATTTAGAAAAAGATGTACCCGAACTTTGGGTGTAAAATGTATTAACTTAATGTCCTAATATGAAGGAATATAATAAGTTTTATAAAGCTTGTTTCAGGGGATGTGCGGCTATTTCATTTGGATTTGGTTGTTTATATGGTCTTATTTTATTGGATAAAACTAGAAAACTTATTTTAGAAGATTATAGAATTTAAGAAGAAAATAAAAAAACTCATAATAATATTTTAAATTTAAGTAATTTATTGAAGGCTTTTTTAGTAATGTTTATTTTTATTTTCATATTTTTGATATTTACACATGTTTACAATATTGGAAGGTTTGTGGATATGCCGGTTATTTATGATAAATATTATTCAATGGTTATAGGAGGATTTATTTCCATTTTGATAATAATTTTTATATTTCCTTTAATTTATTAAGCTGACTAAGGAAAAAAAATAAAAAAAGAATGAAAAGCATATATAATAATTATATATTTATTTGTTTTTCTATATATTAAAATAAAATCATATCTATTTTCTTTGATAAAAAAAAATTTTATTAATCAAATATTTTACAATAATAAATAAAATTATATTTAATATCTTAATATCTAATAATATATATTTTTTTTTATTTAGAAAAAACAATATTATTTTTTAATTAATATATATTTTTTTTAATTTAGGTATTATTATTATCATATCATATTTTTTTTAAATTTAATTAAATCTAAATTATATAATATAATTAATTATTAATAAATAATTTTTTCATTTTTTTAAAATTTTTATATAATATTTTTCTATCAAATATTATATTTATTACTAAAAATCTTAATAATGAAAATTACTTTTTTAAAATTAATATTTGAAATAAATATAATTCATAATTTTATATGAGTTTTTCATTATATTAGTCAAATTTAACTCTTGATTTATAAGATTATTATTTATTTAAAATCTTAAATCAGTTATAATACTTTAAAAGATATTTTTTATTTAAATTATTAAGAATCTTTAATTAAGTATAATCAAATCTAAAAATATATTCAGTTTTAATTTATTTTAGAGTTATTCTTTATTTTTATTAAAAAAAAAAAATATTTATTATATTAAATATATTATTTTTTAATTTATATTATCAAGTTTTTCATTTTTTTTAAGAACTTATTTTTATTTTTATAATTTTAAAAAATAAAAATAATTTGATATTTCTTATTCTTATTGCATTATATTATTTAATATTAAATATATATTATTAATTTCATTATTATTTTTAATATAGATCTGTATCTTATATAATTATATTTTTATTAAATTTATTATATTTTTACTTAGAAATACAATTATGAACTTTTTATTTTTTTATAATTCAATTAATTTAATTATTAAATACATTCAAAAAAAAAAACCATAACTTATAAAAATATTTAATAAATCAAAAGAATTTATTTTTTCTATTTTATTTTTTATTTTTTAATTTTAATTTTAAACATTAATTTTTTATTAAAAAAAAAATTATTTATAATAAATAAATATAAATTTTTTAATGATTGCGTTTTTTATTTAAAATATTGTGTTAAAAATTATTATAAAATACTAATATTACTTTAGCAATTTCAGTAAGTCATAATAAACTAATATATTCCGAAATTACAAGGGATTAAATTTTCTCCATCTCCTTGTCCATATAATGCATTCCTTAAAGACTTTCTAGATCTATACAAAAACCTATTATGTTTACTAGTTTCAAATTTTGAATTCACATAATATCCAAAGCTTTTTATTAACTTCTGAATAATAAACTAGATCTATATTTTAAAAATATTAAAATAAATAATAATTTTATATGCATTATTATAAATATTTTTATATGTGATTTTAAATATAAATATAATTTTATATTTATTGATTTAAATATATTTTTATATATAAATTTATATATATTTTTATAAAAATATATGAAAGTACTATTTTTAATTTTAATCACTTTTTAATATTTATTAATTAATACACCATATACTGTATTCCTATATTTGAAAAAAAAAAAAAATTTTCAACTTTTCGTTAAGGTATTAGCTTTATTATAATAAAAAATTGTAAGGGTGTTTTTTTTATATTCCACCTTTTTAATATTTTATATAATTTTTTATTATTATTATTTAATTTCTTATTATTTAAATTTACCTATTTTTGGCGTATTTTATCTCTTTTTATATGTTATAATGCATATTAAATTATTATATTTATAAGGCGGGCGAAAAATTATTTTTATTTTCATATTAAATTGCTCCAAATTCGATTAAATAATTTTATTTTAAATAAATTAATTAAAAATTTTTTAGTTTATAATAAATACTTTTAATATTTTATAAATTTCGGTTTAAACTAAATTAATATGAGTCAATTTTTGTAAATATGGAACAGATTTTATTATTATTTGATGCAATTTGGTTTTGATTTTCATTTATCTGTTTTTAACCAATTAAAATCCTAAACTTATTATAAAAACTATCAATTATTTTTTATAATTAATTTATTATTTATTAAACACATCTATGGATTATTTTGTTTATTTATTTTTAAAAAGTCAATTAACTTCAAATAAAAAAAAGACTGAAAAAAATAGTTAATGATTTACCTATTTTTTTGCTTATTGGTTTTTTTTAAAATAAAACAACAGATAAAAAATTACAAAAAGTATTTATTTATATACGCACTTTATTTATTTAATAAAGAAATGATTGTTTACATAATTTTTTTGGATTTTAAAATATTTTAGTTCTTGGTATTCAATCAATATAGTTATTTTGATTTTAATATAACTATAGTATGAAATAAATCGTAACATATAACTAATATTTTTTACAGTTTTTTATTTTTATATAAAAAAATTAGAGAAAAAATAAGTATTTTTTTTATAAAGACTAAAAATAAATTGAAACAATAAATAATACACTTACTATATATTTATTTATTTTTTTTTAAATCAAAAAAAATATTAAATTATTTAATAGTTTGCTTTTTTTCAAAAAATAAATAAACTTTCTATTGAAAATTAAGAAAAAAAAAAAAAAAATATTATTAAACAAATATATTCATTCATCATCAAATTCTTTAATTTAACTTTTTTCTTAACCTAAAGGTTTATAATCTTTAATTAAAGGATAAGTTTTATTTGATTGTAAATTTTATTAATATTTTTAAATGAATTATTTATATTCTTAACTTTTTATTAAATTCCTAGATGATTCATCATAAGGATTATAATCTTCTTTTAATTCTTCTAATTTATCTTTATTTAACATATGATATATTGCAACTTCTTATTTTTATTAAATATCTTTTGTATTTCCTTTAGCTCTAATAAAAAAAAGTGAAATAAAAAAATTAAATAAAAAAAGTACAAAAAAGTAATTAAAAAAACAAATAATCCAATTAAAATTAAAATTAGAAAATTAGAATCTTCAGGCAACAAGGAAATCCTTTTTTTAAGTGAATCTAAATTAAATCTTTCTAATATTTATATATTTTATTTTTTTATTATAAAATATTATACTTGATGCATCTGGTATTTCAGCATCAATAGGTTCGAATTTTTCATCTTTTAAATCATTTAAATTCTAAAAAGATTCTTTAAAATTCTTATATTCTTCTCCTTCTGGAGTTTTATGAATAAATTCTTAAAAGTCCATTTTTATTGTATCATCTATATTTTCTTAATATCGTTATTATTCAGGTCTTACGGACTTAAATTGTTCGTCGTCAGACTGTTTTTGCCGTTATTCATATGACATTTTTTATTCTTGACCCTCTAAACGTTTTATTTCATCAAAAGCTTCTTTAATTAAAATAAATCTCTTTTTGGCATCTGGAGAGGGGTTTTTGTCAGGATGATATTATGCTATTAAACGAAAATATGCCCTTTTTATTTCTTTGAAATCAGACTTTTTATCAACTCCTAGAAGATAATAAGGATCATATGTTGTAAATTTATATTTTTAAATATTTAAAATGGGATTTTTAAAGGTTTTTTTGAATAATTTTTATATAAACATTATTAATGGTTTTATTTTTATTTTTTTAATTTTTATATTTATTTGAGACTTTTTTATTGTGAATATTAAAATGTGTAAAATAGTAATATTGAATTTTATTTATAAAAAATATAATTTTTTTTTCAAAAATAATAAATAAAAAAAGTTATATATAATATTAAATAAGTATTATCAAAAAAAAAAAAAATTATCCTAATAAAAATAAAATAATGTATATTTTTATTAAATAATAAAATGATTTCTAATTTAAACCATTTTTTTTTATTTTAATATTTTTTTTTCATGGAATACTACTCATCTTTTAACTTTGTATAAAGTAACCAACAAAAAGTGCAATAATCCAAATATGATAAGATAATTCAGATAATCCTTAAAGATGTGGTTTTCCAATTTTTTCTAATAAATAAAGATAGTTGAATAGAATTAATTAAATTGAAATGAAAAAAATACAAATAGTCGCAAATATATAACTTGCCCAATTTTAAATAAGATAAACAAAAATCACTAAAATAACTATATGTTTTTCCACCATATAATCAATAGTTTTACAAAAATGATATGGAAATCCTTTTTAATCTTCTTGTATTTAATTATTAATGGCTTCTATTTATTTTTTTTAAATATTTTGTTGTTCTGTTTCTACTGGTTGATTTGGTTAAACTTCATTTTCATATTAAATCTAAATATTAATGTTTCCATCTTCGGATATTTATTATTGATTATTTTATTATTAATTCTTATCTTAATTTTATTATGTTTTCATCTTCTCTTTTTTTTTATTTTCAGTTTAATATTTTAAATAAATTTGCTTACATTCTTAATCATTTTTTTAAGGCAGCTATTACTTTAAAGCTTATTGTTCGGAATGACAATCTACTTTCATAACAAAAATTCTATAAACAGCAACTAAAATAGTTAAAAATGAAACAAATAACCTTAATTACAATATTTTATATACAAATAGAATAATTATATATCTAAATATTTTTAGTTTACCAGAAAAATTCTATTATCATAATAGAATGTAAATATTCTGTATCGATGTTTAAATTTAAAGAAAATTTGTTATTAGTTATTGATATATTTATTATTAAGATGACATTTTTTATTCTTATATAAATTAATATTTAAATTTTCAATAAAAGTATTTTATTATATGTTATTTTCAAATTTAAAATATTTAAAATATAATAATTATATAAAATATAATTTTATTTTTTATATTAATTTAAAATATATATAAAAATGCAAATTAAGATTATAATTAAAAAAAAATTAATACGTAATATATGAAAATAAAAATATTATATTATTTTATAATAAAACTGAAATGTATAAATAATGTAAATAAAATATATCTATATCTATATATATATATATATATATATATATATATATATATATATATATTAATATTTATATATTTAAAAAAATTTATTTATTCATTTAGGAATAATTTCGAATGTTGATTTATATTATTTACATTTATCGTGTATATTTTTAATTTTATTATACAAATCATTTATACCAAAAGGTTTTTCCAGAACATAATCAAACCCAATCTTTAAACATTCATCTTCAAAAATTTTATTTCCTCCGCATCCACTAAGGCAAATAAAAGGCACATATTTATAATATTTACTTTATTTAATTTTTGTAATACATTCAAATCCATTAAGTTAAGGCATTTAATTATCTAAAATTACCAAATCTATGTTTAAATAGTTTTAAATATATTTTATATATCCATCTTGACCATTTTCAGCCTATATTACGTTTATTTGGTGTTTTGCAAGTGTTTTTACGATTATAGTTCTTATAAATTCATCATCTTCCACTAAAAGGATGTTTTTTAGACTTTGGCTATTTTCGTTATTATTATCTAAAGATTCTGTCGTAGAAAAAGAATTAAAACACTATCTTTATGTAATAGGTTAAGTTTCTGTCTGAATTGTACTGATAAAAATACTTCCTTGATTTTTTCTCGAAAACACAGCGACTTTTCCACCTAAACTTTCCGCTATTTGTTTTGATATAAATAAGCCTAAACCATATCCTCCGTGCTTTTCTTTTATTTAAGAATTTGCTTGTTAAAAAGGACAAAATAGTCTTTTTATTTCTTATTCATCCATCCCTAAGCCAGTGTCGATTATTTCGAATTAGAGAAATCCTTTTTTAGAATTTTCGTGATCGTATATATTGGAGACGCCAATTTTATGGTTATTAAGAATAGAATAGAAATTTTCTTTATTAGAAACATTTTGTTTGAAGTTTAAAAATGTTTCCTTTTATAATTTCATTATTTAAGCTTATTTTATGTGATTAAATTATTATGTAGGCTTTAATTGTATGTCTATCTATTTTTTTAGTTTTTTATCTAATAATTTATATATGTATATATATTTTTTTTTTTCTAATAATTTATATATATATATTTTTTTAATTTTTATTATTTACAATCTAGCTTTATTTTAATATTTTATTAAAAATATAAATACTTTCGAATATTAAAAAGTCAAAGATTTATAATTTAATAATTAAAAAAAAAAAAATAGTATAATTAAAAAAGTAAAAATATTTACCTTATTTGTTAAAAAATTAGATTCTTTTAAAAATTCATCTTAAAAAGGCATAAAAGAAACAATTAATTTAATAGCGCCTTTATCAGTAAATTTAATAGAATTTCCAATAAAATTCATTAAAATTTATTAGGTTTTCTTTATATCAACTGATTAAAATTAAGGAGTACCTTATTTGACTAAAATATCAAAATCAACCTATTACTTATTTTTATTTTTAATTTAATTCTAAGTATATTTTCCAATTTCTATTAAGAATGCGTCTATATCAGTTTTTTCTTTTTATATATTTGTCTTATTCTCATTTTTTTATAAATTTAATAATCTACTGATTAAATTATTCATAAAATCCTAGCAATAATTAATATGATCAATAATTTCTCTTTATTCACTTTATAAAAGGTTAATGGAAGCTTGAATACTTGATATAGGGGATTTTAAGTCATGTAAAACTGATAAAAATTCAATATTATTTTAATCAATACTTAAATACATTATTATTTATTTTATTGAAAAAAAAAAAAAATACTATATTTTAATATTTTTTTTTGTTATTATTAATTATTTTTAATTTTATGATTTAATTTGTTAATTAAGTACCAATTTTATAAAAAATACCATTTAATAAAAATATATTTTTAATTGTTTATAAAATCTAATTTTTTTAATTTTATGCTATATAAATTAAAAAAAATTATAATAATTTAATATTTCTGTATTCTTATTTAGATTTTTATGGTGAAATAAATTATTAAAGTTTTTATATATATTTTTTTATATTAAAAATATTTCAATCATTAAAATAATTAACTTAATATTAAAAAGAAATAAAAAAACATATTACTTTTATGAAATTAAAAATATTTTAATTAATTTAACTTTATGGATTAGTAAATTAAAAGCATTCAATCATGATTTAAAATTTAGACTAAATTATATAAAGAAAATTATGAGCATTGTTTATCTTTATATATACAATATATATTTAAGTTTTTTGTATTAATTAGTTTAATAAAAAATATATTTACTTAATATATTTAAAAATATTAAATTTGTATATAATGAAATCCTTTAATATAAATATTTTTTATTTTTTTATATTAATTTTAATTTATTAAAAATCTAAAAATAAAAAACTCTTATGTTAAAAAAAATCTAATATAAATAGTAAAAATATACATATAAATATTAAAATATTGTGAATATAATAATTTTTTATTTTAGTGTATTATTTTTTAAGTATTAATATTATCATAAAAAAATTATTTTATCCTATTATATAATATTTGATTATTTATTAATCAATAAACTCTTTACCTTATTATAATATCTATTAATTCTGTTAATTAGTTTTCTAAATTATTTTTTATTAGAAATTTTTAATACTTTGCTAGAAATTATATATATTTGATTATTATTTTCTTCTTCATCTTCATCATCTTCCTCAGAATCCTGTATTTCATATTATTATTATCATTTAGAGATATTTTTTAAATATTAATTAATCCTTTATTTAATATTCATCATCTAAATGCATTTAAAATAGTAGTTAATTATTTTTTTAAAAATTTTATATGTTTCCTCCTCCTATTTTAAAAATAAAAATATTTTTATATATAAAAATAGAATATTAAAATTTTGATTAATAAAATATCATATAAAATAAAAGATATGTAAATAAAGAATATATTAAAAATAAATAAACTAATAATAAAAATATATATTTTACCTCCTCTAATACATGGTTTTATTAAATTATTTATTTATAATTTAAGTTCTTATTAATTAATATTATTAAGTGTATTCTATTGACTAAATGAATTCGTACTATTTTAAAGATTTGTTTATATAATTTAATTTTGACTATTTTTAAGTAAATAGTTCTATTCTTAACTATTTTTATAGTGATTTTATTTCTCTTCTATTTATTAATCTATTTGAACTTTGTAATTTTAAAGTTTTTAAAATAAAATATTTTTATCTTTTATTAATTCTGCATTTTGTTTTTATATATCTACTATATTATTAATGATATCTTTATTTTGAGAATTCCTAGAAGTTTAATTATTTTATTTTTTATATATATTTTTTTTACTATTTTAATTAATTTATTTATTATTTTAAGTTTGTTATTTCTTCGTTTTTTTCAAAAATTTATTTTTCTTTTTCTTATTCGAATTAAATTCTTTAAGTTTTTTATTTTTTCTAATTTTATAATTTTTTAATTAAAAAAATATATATTATTTATTTTTACAATAATTTAGTTTTTAATAATTATTTAATTTTAATTCTCTTATATTTTTTCAAAAGAATATTTTTTCAATTTAGAAATAATTTATTAATATTTAAATACAATTTAATTTATTTAATTTTTTAATATGTTTATTTAATTTGTTTATTGTTCATTTTCTATACTCAAATTATGTATTTTCTTACCTTAATTATGTATGATTTCTTATAATTATAATAGCTATTCTTCTAATTTTTTCTCATAATTTCCCTCTATATTTTCATTTATTATTGTATTTGCTATATCTTCCACTATTTTAACGACATCGCCCTATATTTTTTTTATATTTTTTTTAACATATATATATATATATACTTCATCCGAAAAAGAATATTTGTTAGAATCAAATATATTACTTTTATCAACACTTTCTTCTGTTTAAAATAGAATTTCTTCATTTTTTTCGAAAAAATCTTTAAAGGAATTATCAATTTAATCTTATTCCAGTAAAAAATTATCACTTTTGCTCTTCTAAAATATTAAAATATAAATAAAAAAATATTTAAAGTATAAAAAAAATCTTATACTTCAATATTCCCTAAACAATCTTTATAAGAATGTAATTCATTTTTAATAATATTTTCATTCAAAGTATCAATATATTATATATATTAATTAATTTTTTAAAATATATTATGTGATTATTCAATATAGGAATTTTTACAAAACTTTTCATCATCATCATTTTAATCTGCAAAAAATTTCTATCTTATATTAAAAAAGTCTAACTATTATTTAATCAATTCGAATTATTCTAAAAACTAGGCCAAATTTTACTAAATAATATATTTTTCTTGTCTTTCTTTTTATAAATTAATTTGGAAGTATTTATTTTATTCTTCTAGTTATTTTTTAGATTCTTCTATATTATCTTTAAGCTTTTTTTTTAAAAAAAATAAATAAATTGGAAATATTTAAAAACGAAATCTAATTAAATAAAATATTATATAATATAAATACTTAATTACTATTTAATTTTCATTTTATTTATTTATTAGTTCAATCTCTAAATCTAATTTAATTTAATTTACTTATTCGAATTTTTATTTAAATTTTAAATATTCGAGGTGTATTTAAAGAATTTTCTTTGATTAACTTTATCCTCCTATATTATTTTAAAAATTTAAAATTTTACTTCCTCTTCTCTCACCTTCTTATAATTTTTTTCCATTAGATCCTTCTTCCATTATTTAAATCTAAAGTGCCTAAATAACTTCTTCTTAATATTTAATTTTATTGCTTGCTTAATCCAATAATGTATATAACTCTTTAGAACTTTTCTCCTCGTTTTTTTTAGCTTAATTTTTAATACTTTTAGCCCTAAACCCAAACCTTAAAGTTTATAAAATTTCTTTATCATTATATGTACACATAGAAATATTTATTACAAGAGTTGTTTTTGCATTTCCTCCTAAAGATTCTTGAAGAATTCTTGTAAGTTTTGAATCTCTGTATGGGACATGTTCTTTTCCACCTGATGTTAGGGCATTTATTACCATTCCTAAACATGTTAATGACTTATTTATATTTTTAGCCTCTTCTAATTATTAGCCTGATACATTTGTTTTACTTAACTTTTTTTTTATATTATATTATTTAGTTATTTTTTTTAAAAAAAAATCGGACTTTTTCACTTCCTGCTAAATCTACGAAATATAATTTACTTATGGTAGTAGTATCTGTACTTGTATTTTTTTTAAATATTTGTAAATAGAACAAGCTGTGAGACCGTGAAGATCGCTCATTCATTCTTGTTGCAGCTTAAGTTCTATTCGATGAGCCTGTTTTCATTACTTCACGCATTTCTTCGACTGAAGTAACAAATATTTCCGAAGCATCTTATATGTAAATTCCCTTTGTTTTACTTTCTTTGACTTGAAGATTAGATTTCTTCGCTTTTTTTTTTTTTTTTTTTTTTTAACGTATTTTTTTTACTGTCTACTAGATCCACAATTTTTTCATTGTATATTTCTATGAAAGAAACTCGTATTTAAAATTCTAAATCTTCACTAGAATTTATAATTATATCGAATATTTTTTCCATCATCCTTGGTATTAAACCTTTTTTTATTTTCTTAATAATTTATTTTTATTAAAAAAACCTTTTGTTTCTTCTGTAAAATTATCAGGACCCTTTTTTTAAAAATCAAATATTTAAACAAAAATAATGTGTTTAAAAAATAAAAGTATTTTATGAATAAATTTCAAAATAAATAAATGAATTACTTCCATTGTAAAAGTTTTTCCTGAGCAAGTTTATCCATAACAAAATATTGTTCCATTGTAACCGGCCATAACGCCTATATTTATTTATTTATATATTATAATATTGTTAAAAAAGTTTTATAAAATTCAATTTTTTTAAAAAAATAGAACTTTCTATAACAGGAATTGCAATAGTTTCAAATGCTTCTTTTTGGCAAATATTAGGATCTAAAATTCTATCAAATGTAAATTCTTACGGTTTTTCGTTTCCAACTGTAATTGTTATATTTTTATCGTCATACACTACGCATTATTCACCCCCTGTTGATTTTTCTAATTAATTTAATGGTCTCATTCTACATATAACTCTTATGTTTGCTGAATCATCATTGTTGATCATTTTATGCTTTATTTTTTGTGTAAAAATTAATGTTTTAAATATTTAATTATAGAAAATTTACTTTGTATTATAAAAAAATTATAAAAATACTAAATTAATTTTTTAAAAAAAATTTAAAAATTTTATTTATTATGTAATATACTAAAAATTATTTTTTATTAAAATTAAAATATATAAATTAAAATAATACAGAAGAAAAATAAAAATATAAATAATTACTAGTGCAAATTCCTTTTCCATAACATAAATTTGGTCAAGCAAATTAATTATTACAGAATTTAATATAATCAGAAGGAATTTTTTTTACCTTGTTTCATTAACTTAATTACTATAAAAACACTCTTATCATTAATTGTATGCTTAATTGCAAGATAATTATTTTTTACAAAGCATTGATTTTCAAGATATAAATTGCCAAAAAGCATATTATTTATCTTTTAAGATACTAGTATTAAAGCATCTTGACTATAGTCCTGTATATTCTCCTGCTTTAGTCAAAGAATTCGATTTTTTCATAACTTATCATCCATCACATGCTGCTTCATATTCATTATTGACACACTAATTACTAAAAAGACAACAAAATCTATTTATTTACCATAATTTAAATATTAGTATTAATTCCAATGAAGAAAAATCATTCAGAATACCAATAAACCAAAAAAGGTGAATTTTAAAACAAATAAATTGCATGAATCCATATTTTTTTTTTTTTCTTAAAATTTAGTAAACTAAGAGATGGAAAATCCTTAAAATGCTTTTCCGGAAAAACGAGAGTTTAATTAATTTTATAAATAAATGTATTTACCCATAAAATTACTTGATCTTAAGCAAATTGCTTGATCTTAAACTGTAGTCTTTAGATTACGAGCACAATCCTGCCTATGCTAATTCAGGCTCTATTGTAATATGCTGCTAATATATAAAACAAATTCAGTATTTAATATATGATTGTAATGCGAGAATAGGGATTTTAACATTTTATTTAGAACCGCAATAATTAATTTGATAATAAGAATCTAATTTTAAGTATTATGTTAATAATTTTACATTAAACATTAATTATAATTATCCGCAAGAAGCATGAATCAAATATTTTTCAATGAATTTCTTGCAGATAAGTGATTTTTATTTAAGTTAGAATAATCGAAAAGTATTATTATGGGTATTCATTCATTATCGTTATCTACTTATTTATAATAAGTCTGAAATTTTAACGATTAATGATATTTCTTGATATATACAGTATCTAAAACATAATCGTTGGACTAACCCATATTTATCAAAAGTATCTATCTTATGACAATGTTATTAATTCTTTTTAAGATTTTCATTTAATATGGTAAAACTTTATTAGAACTATAAAATTGTTAAAAACAGAATAGAAATGATTGCTATCTTTTTAATTCTATTAATTTTTTTTTTTAATAATTTTTTTATTTAATTTTCTAGATTAAATAATTAAAATTTTAAAAATATACAACTAATAGTTTCTAAATTAAGAATTCAAGTGTCTATTTTTAAATAAAATGTTTAAAGATTTGTTAATATATAAATAATTTAAATCACTCAAAAAAAAAAAGTTCGAATTTTATTTTTTAAAATATAAAAAAAAATATTTATTATAATTGATAACTATTAATAAAAAGTAATGTTTATTTTAAAATACATTTACTTATATAATAAAAAAAAGATAAAAAATTTAAATAAATTTAAAATATAAATAAAAATACTATAAATAAAATATTTTAATTCATTAAAAAGAAAAATATTAAATAGTTTAAAAAAATAATTAAATCGATAAGTAAATTGTTTAAATACTAAATACAAAAAAAAAATATATGTATATAATTTAAATTAATTGAAATTTAACAAATAATAATAAAAATAAAATATTAAAATAATAATAAAGAAAAAATATAAATTTATATTTAACATTTATAAATAAAATATCTTTTTTCTTTTTAATAATTAAATAAATAAATATTTTGTAAAAGAAAAAAATAGCTAATATTTATTAAAATATAAAAATAAATATAATAATATATATATATATATATTTATATATATATATATAAAACTATATTTATATATATAGATATTTTTAATTTACTTTATATTTTAAACTTTTTAAATTTAAAAAAACATTATTATTATTTAAATATTAATATTTTTTTATTAAATTATTATCAATATATTTGAAAACATTAAAAATTAATAATTAAAATTTAGTTTTTTAAGTTCGAAATAATAAAGTAAAATAAATTTTTAGTCCATAATATAAATATTATATCTTAATTAATAATAATTTTTTTTGAAATATTATATGACATCGAAGTATATATTTATTTTTTATAATTATTTAACAATATATTTATTAATATTTATTTTTTATTTTTATCCATATTGTATAATAGTTTTCATTTTTTTTTTCTTTAAAATTATAAATATTTCTATTTTTTTTTTATATAATTTTTTGAACAATTTAATATTTTTACTTTTAATTTAACTCGAAATTAAAATGTATATAGTATTAATAACAAAAAATGTATTATGGAATTTTTTTTTAATTGATTATGTCTTTAAAAAAAATTAAACAAATATAATAAAAATACATTAAATTAATTTATATAAAATATATAAAAATACAAAAATAAAAAAAATTATTTAAAAAAATATTAATTTATATACTTTTTTCTAAGGATAATGTAAAAATATTTATGATACTAATAATTTTATTAATATAAAATATATATTAAATCAATTATAAATTTAGAAAAGTGTCATAATATTAATTTTAGCAACCTTTTTTAAAAATAATTAATACTTCTTTTTACAATATAAAACTTATGTTATATAATTAAGATATTTTATTTAATATTGGTGTTGTAATTTATTCACATAAATACATTAATTATTTTAAATATATACACATATATATATATATATATATATATATATGTATATATATATAAATTATATTTCTTTATTATAGATTTCTTTCTTGTTTATTTATTATATTCTATATATGAAATCGTATTTTTCATTCCAAATTTTTCAATAGTTTTTAAGACATCTAATTATTCCACAAATTTTAAGAATATTCCTACAAATTTTACAAAATCCACTTGTCATTTATTATTTCCTAAATTTTCATCCTTTTTTAAGATTCTTTTTATAATAATTTTTTAATAAAATCTTATGCAATTAATGTAATATATCCAGGTATAAATAAAATTGCCTTTTTAATAATATATATATATATATAATTATAAAAAATAAATATATAAATGAATTACTTATTCAATATAAAAATATGTTTATTGACTTGATTCTTAACAAAAAGGAGCTTTTCCTGTCAAAAGCTCATAAGTTAAAACTCCTAAGCTCCACACATCAACACTTTAATCATAGGTTTCTCCCCTTACCATTTCAGGGCTTATATAATCCAGAGTACCACAAAAAGTTTTACGACCATCTTTATGGCAAAAAACACTGCAGCCGAAATCGGCTAATTTTAATACTCCAAAAGACATTAGAATATTTTCAGGTTTTAGATCGCGATGAATTATATGATTTTTATGTAAATAAAGTAATACTTCCGCTATTTATTTTATGAAATAGGCTACTTGATTTTCTTAATATCTTTTATTTGGTTGTTATTGTAATCCTTAATATAATTCCCCGTCAGCTGCATATTCTTGTACAAGGTATATAGAGCCTTTGGTTTAGTAAAAACCGTAGAGTTTTATAACATTAGGGTGGTTTAAGAAAGATTAAATTTTTATTTCGTTTTGTAAGTAATCTTCATTTTTGTATTTGAAAAAACTCTCTTTTTTTATCTTTTTTATTGCTACAATTAATCCAGTTTTTATATCTCTTTTTAAAATAAAAATAAAAATAATTATATATAATAAAATTAATCATAATTAATGAAAAAATATTGTATATAAAAAGAAATATAGTTTTTGTATTGATATAAAACAAATTACTAAGCCATATGTACAGTCGAGAATTTTCCTTTTCCTAAGAACTTTTCTATTTTGAAATTTTCTTTTTTGAAATAATTTTAAAAGAACTAATTTCTAATTTAAATTTGTTAACTATTATCAATATTATTTTTATCTAAAAGTGATTATATTTTGCGATTTTTTTACATTATTTTTTCTATATTTTTCTTTATTACATGATTACTATTTAATATATTATTTGTTTAATTTATTTAATTATTTAATGGATAACTACTAATATTAATTTGATTTTTCTCTTCTATTTTTTCATTATTATTCATACAATTTGAATAAAAATTTTTTTCGTATTCTTATATAACAAATAAGTTATTTTATGAACTTTAAATGTTTTACAAATATCTATCCATAATACTTTAAGAATATTGAGAAGTTTACAAAGAAATCGATTTGGATTTATTTATTTAATTTTATTTAATTTATGAATTATTTATTTAATTTTATTAACTAAAATCTCCTTAATTAATGTACTTTTAAATAATATTATTTACATCTTAATTATCATAAACTAAATTTTGATTATTATCTTATTAGTTACTATACAAATTTAAAGAATAATTATTTATTAGATTAAAGTTTTTAAAAATATTATTTTAAGATTTACTTCTATTAAAATTATTATCATTTACTATCTATTATTTTAATAAAGATTAGTTTATTTAAATATTTAAATTATCTTTTTATAATTTTTAGTTATTTTATTAATTATTTTATAATAAATTATAATTTATCTAAACATTTAATTGTCAATTATTTTTTATTATTCATTATTATTTAAAATTTTATTTTCTAAAGGTAATTTTTTATTTTCTTCATTTTTAGATTATTTGTTTGAGTTTTAACAGTTTTAGCTTAATGTTTTTTCTACAGTTTCTTATTTTATATACTATTGTAAAATGTTTTAGGACAAATCATATTTTGAAGTTATATTTGATGAATTTTTATCTTCTTTCTATGATATTTAAATTTATTTGTTTTCTGTTAAGTTCTTTTTTTACTATTGTATGATTTTATTTTATATTTTTTCGTTATTTTTTTTAATTTGCTTTATTATTTTGGATAATGACATATTTCTATAATCATATGAAAGGCTACTTTCCGATATTTATGTGTTAGTTTCTAAATTGTTTTGACTATTTTTAGTTTCTTGAATAAGCATAAATTAATCTTAACTTTGTTTATTATTTTTGATATTTTCTTTATCAAGAAACTATTCTTAGTTAAAATGATTTGATATCTTTATATTCATTATTTATATTTATTTTTAATTTTTAAATATTCAAAACTTTTTTAAATTTATTTTTTTAATAAAAATTCAATTTATTAATATTTTTTTAAAAAAAACTAAAATAAAAATAATTTTATTATAATTAAATTAAAAAAATAAAACATAAAATATATATTTATCTATTTAATTAATATTTTATATATAGATTTATATCGTTTCATATTATCCTATTTATTTTTAATGCTCTTAATTAATATTTTCTAATATTACAACTATATTATCTACAAATTTAAATATAAACTAAAAGTTAAATAAATCTATATTTTAATTATAAGAAAAATATAACTATTATATAATTTCTAATTATATTTTAATTTTATATATAAGTTTGATATCTTTTATAATCTTCTCTTCTAATTAATTTTTTAAATTTATTGTATACTTATTTAATTTTTAAAATTATTGCTATTATTGCTTAATAATTTTTTAATTTATTTTTAATAAAATCATATAAATATTTTTTTTAAATTACTTTACTATAGAATCAGGTTAAAGTATTTTAAAATTATAATTATAATTTATTATTTAGTATGGTTAGAAGTATTCATGTTCATGTTTTTTAAGAATAACTTAACTATTTAAATTATTATATTATTAAATGCATTATTTAGATTTATTTTAATTTAAGATTTATATTAGAAATAATTTTATTTAAAATTATTTTAATTAAAGTAATGTTATTATAATTATTTATCCTTCTCAGTTATTTTTTTTTATATAAATATTTTTTATCTTTTTAAAGTTTAATTTTGTTTTTCTAATTTTATTATTTATTCATCATATTTTTTAGGTTTTTAATTTAATTAATTTGTTTTTTCCTTAAACTATTTGATTTTATTATAAAAATTGCTAATCAAATTTAACAAGTATGCTTATTTATTCAGAAATAATTTTTATTGTATTATTTATTTTTGCTTATCATTATTATTTTTAAATATAATGATTATATTTATAAATGCTTAAATTAAATTGTAATATAAATTAATTATTGATTTAATTTCTATTATTTTTTACTTATAATTCTTATATTTTATATTTTTTTTTAATAAATAATTTTTTTATCTTTTAATTTCGATTTTTTATTTAATTATTATACTTATTCTTTTAAATTCGGTATAATAGAACCTTATTAAACTTTTAATTATTTAAATTTAATTTTTTTAAAAAATAAATATTTAAGTATCTTTTTATTGAAGTTGAAAATCCATAAATGTTAGGTTAGAAGGCAATTTTTTAAACAAAAAATAATATTTATGTATTTTTTCATAATTAAATATTAAAATATATTTATTATTTAATCATAAATTACAATTACAATATTATTTTAATTCTTAATATAATTTATGTTAATAATTTTTATATTTGATAATTGTAATTATTACTCATTTTATCTTTGCATAGGATTTGATATTAAATGTATTTTTTATTGTTTTTTTATAGTAAAGAAATATAATATTAAATAATATATTTAAATTTATAAATTATTATAAAAAATAAATAAGTATTCAATATATATTATTTTAATTATGAATAATTATTTATTATAAATATTTATTTATTTTTAAAGTTAATTTTACTAATTATTTTCTATAAACTTTTACTCTTTTAATTAAAAATATATATTAAATAATACAAAAATTTTATTAGTAAGAAAGTAAATAATAAATATCTTCTATCAATTTAATTTCATTCTTATTTTATTAATCTTATGATTCTTGTAATTTTTTATTTTCAATACTATCATCACTTAACCTTTTTTTATTTTAAAATAAAAATGTCCAATATTTAAAAGGTTAAAAAACACATTAAAATTTACCATTTTTCTCTTTTACCATTTTTCCATTCACCTTTTTTCTCATCCCCTTCTGGATTAGTAAACCATCCTATCCCATGTTATTTTCCATTGAACCAATTTCCTTTATAAACTCTTCCTAAATAAAAAATTATATTTTTTTTTATAAAAAAAATAAAAACAAAAATTATATACCATCAGGCCAAGTAAAAACTCCATATCCATGTTTTTTATCATCCAAATATTCTCCTTCATATTTTCTCCCATCAGTCCACGTGAAAAACCCTTTTCCTTCCATTCTATTATCTTTCCAATCTCCAACATACATTCTATTATCTGGCCAAACATACCTTCCTTTACCATTTATATGATTTTTATAAAATTCCCCGTCATAATAAGATCCGTCTGCCCATTTGAAAATTCCTCTCCCTTCTTTTTTCCCATCTAAATACTATCCCGTATATATAGCCCCGTCAGGCCAACATTCAGTGCCAATTCCATTTTATTTATCTTCAACCCATTCGCCTTCATATTTTGCATTATCTATATGTAAATAAATGCCTTTTCCATTTGCTTTATCTTTTGACCATCTTCCAATATACACATCTCCATCTGCATGTATTAATCTTCCTTTACCTTCAGCCATATCTATTGAAAAATTATTTAAAAAAAATAAAAATAAAATACTATTTCTCCAATAGCCTTCATATAAACTTCCATCATTCCAATATTATTTTCCGCGCCCGTGTCTATTTCCATTTTTCCATTAACCAATATATATAGAACTATTTTCGAATTCATAAGGACCTTAATACGGTAAGGCTTGATCTTCAGATTCATCTTCGTCATATATAAATTCTCCTTATTGTTTTAATGTTTATTTTGCATTTATATTTAAGAAATCAGGAATTTATTTTATTAACTTTGCTACTTATGGCGGTGGTAAATGTGGATTTTATTATATTTAATATGATGATTATGATTATTATGATTTTACTATTTCTACTTATATATTTTCGTAATTATCTTTGTTTTAAATTGATTATTTTCTTTGAATTGTTAAAGGGGGTTAAGTTTTATTTTGTTCATCTTCATTTTAGAGTGAAGCTGTGTATACTTTTGATTTATTTAAAAACAAAAAAATTAAAAAATAATGAGAAAAAATTGTTTATGGAAAATTTAAAATTAAACCTTGTATTTATGATATACATTTGATATTATCATTATCTAAATTTTCGGCATTGTTTTCGGGCATTTCAGGTTTTCCTTCTGTTTGTATTTAATCATTTTAAGTTTAATTGTTGCAGCAACAACTATTTCCCATATAATAAAATATTATTATTAACAAAAAAAAAAAACTATTAATAAATTTTTTTTATTATATATATTTATTTATATGTGAAATTTTAATACGTTAATTTTATTATTAAAATTTTTAATTTGAGTTTATTAAAATAAAATTAAATGCATATTTGTAATTTTTATAAAAATAAAAGTAAAATTATATTCTTTAAATATATATATATATATATATATCTATCTATTTTTTAACTCATTTGTGTAGAAATAATTGAAATAAAAAAATAGGATAATATAGTTTATATTTGAGAAAAATTTATATATTATTTTAATTATTTAATTAATAATATTATTAAATTAAAAAATTCATATTTATTATTATAAATTAACCAATAATTTTGTAAAAATAATAATTACAATAAGAAAAATTATTTAGTAAAAGATACTTAAAAATAATTATTTTTATTTTATATATATATTAATTTTAATAAGTTATTTTTTTAATAAAATTTAATTATCTAAGTTAAAATAAAATTTAAATATCCGTTATAATTAATGAGTATTAATTTAAATATATTCTTATTTTACTAATTTTAATTTAATTTAATTATATTCTTTTATAAATTTTAATATTTTTTTATAAATAATATATGTATATTTTTTTAATCTATTATTTTCTTTCTTATTATTTATTAATTTGTTATAATTGTACCATAGAAAAATAAAAGAAAAATAATAGAAAAATAATAAATGTAAAAAAGAAAAAATAAATTTATATAAATTAATTATAAAAAAAATATATTATATAAATGTTTAATACATTTTTATAATCATTAAAAATAAATAAAAAAATAAAATTCAATAATAAATTGCTTTTTAATATAATTATGGAATAAAATACTACTACTAAGCTTGTTGACAAAGAATTACTCGAATATGAGATATTTAAAGAAGGTGAAACCCCAGTTAAATTCAAGAGTCTGTTTGCAAACAAACCTTCTATAATAATTTTTATCCGTCATTTTAATTGATATGTTTGTCTAGACTTCGTAAATGCCTTAGGAAAAATCGACTATGAAGAGACTTTTTTGAAAAATCAAATAAATCTTCAAGTTATAGGCTGCGCGAAGAAATCAGGGATAAAATCTTTTGCTAAAGATATAAAGCTCCCTATTTAATATTTATACACTGATTCAGAGAGATTTTCATATAATAAAATGGGATTAATTAGAGCAAATAAATTTAGTTAAATAATGGGAGATGGTTAAAAATCTTAAGAAACATAAAGTTCGTTATTTGGTGGGTTTGGATGGAGCATATGGAAAACCGTTTCGAGAGGAATTTAAGGAGATGTTTATCAACTTGGGGGATGCTTTGTTGTGAATTAAAAGGCTGAAATTTAATTTGAACATGTTGATTAAAGCGCGGAAGGACATATTGGAATTGATTAGATTAAAGAATTAGCAAATAAATTTGGAAATAAATAGTGATATAGATATTTATATATTTTATTTTAAATTTGGTTATTTTTTTTATTTATTGGTTAATGAAGGTACTAATTGTAAAAATTATTTTATTAAAACAATTAGTATCTGATAGAATAAATAAATAAAAAAAAAAAAAAAATTATAAAAAAAAAATGTAAATATATGTATAATTTATGTTAAATAAGTTTATAAAAGAATTTTTTTTAAAAAAAATATTATTTGTAATAAAATTAATATTTTAAAATATTATTTGTAATAAAATTAATATTTTAAAATATTATTTGTAATAAAATTAATTTTTTAAAATAAAAATATAATTAATATAATAAGTATATTTGTATATCAAAATAATTTATATTGATTTTTATTTATAATAAAAATTTATACTAAAGAAATATTTAATAATACAAATTTAATTTATTAAAATAATTATAAAACATATATAATTCAATAATGTTTGAAGAAAAATGTTAATTAATATATATTTATTTAATAGATAACTATATTTATTATTTATTTTATCTTTGATTAAAAAAATAAGATATTGATATTTTTATTTTATAAATATTTTTTATTAATTTTTATGAAGGTATAAATATAAAATATTAAATTAATTTAAAAATTATTTTTAAAATATAAATTTAGATTACAATAGTTTATTTTTAAAACAATTAAAATAATTTTTATAAAATATTTTTTTTTCATTTTAGTATAAATTAATAGATGTAATTTCTAATAAAATTATTAATAAAAAACAATTTTAGAAAAAAATCGATAATTGAGCTAGACAATAGTTAAAAGATAATATTTAATTAAGAAAAAAAACATAAAACTAAATTTTGAGGAATAGTTACAATCGTTATAATAATTTTTTCCATATTTTAATTAATTCTAATTTTTAAAAATGAATTTTAAATATTGATTTTTAAATTGAATATAAAGATTTTAATTAAAGATAAATATGTGTTTTTGAATTCTTGTTTATCTTACAAAAATTATATTAATTTTCTTGACGAACTGTTCACATTTTTTTTTATAATTTTTGTTTTAAAAAGCTCAATCAAAATAAAGGGTCAATAATTTTTTTAAAAAATAAAATATAAATAAATAATTAAAAATAAAATAAAAAAATTTAGGAAATAGAGATAAACACTTTATGTTTAATATAATAATAAAAATTAAGAATTTATAAAAAAATATTTAGATACCAGTGTAATTTAAGATAGTTTATAAATAAAGTATTTAAAAGTTAGATAAATATCCCGAGATTTAATTTATAAATTTAATAATTTTTAAAACTATATTAAATAAGATTTTCAAATTAAATGTTCTTTATACAAAATAATTTAATTAGGACAAAATTAAAATCAGAAAAGCATTTATGATACTAAAACACCTATTTTTGAAAAAACATAATTTATTATTAGTTTTTATAGAATAAAAAATTATTTTTATCATTTTTTGTGGATAAAACAAAATCTTTCAACATCATATTAGTCTTTATAAAAAACAGGTTCTTTATAAATTTAACCCCAATTATTTTGAACAAACATTTATTGAATTAATTCTTTTTATCCTTAATCAGTTTCTAATGCAATAAAACCATTTTAATTTAATATATTTATTCCTTATTAAATAATTTTTTCGATTAAATCTAAGCCTTATATCCCTCCATCTAAAGCTACAATGTCTTCATATTTAATAACTGAAAAGTCTAAACTAAATAACAATAAAAATTTAAATTATAATTTTATTAAAATACTCTTTTATTTTTCTTGAAGGTATATAAGGAGGATTGCTTACAATAAAATCAAACTTTTAGTTACAAGAAGTTACATAATTTTCAAAGTCAACATGTATTAATTATAACTTTTATATTTTATTTAATTTTTAATTTTATTTACATAAATGAACACATTATATTTATTTATCAATCGCTATTCCTTCTAAATTAGAATTTTCCTTTTAAAAAATTAATTTATAAATATTTTTTTTATTTTTTTCATACTTTTAATAAAGATAATGAGATCGCTCCAGTTCCACAGCCTATTTCTAAAAATTTTTTCTTATCTTTAATTATTTTATTAACATATTCAACTAAATAAGAAGTTTCATCCCGAGGAATAAGCACAGGTATTTTCATTTTTAATTTTAATTATCTTTATAAATTTTTAAATTAAATGTTTAATATTTTACGATACCTAAATTCCCATTCTTAAATTACATATTAAATAGGCATTTTTCTTAAATGCATAGTTTACATCTTCTATATGTTTAAATAATGCGAGAAACTAAGTTATGAAAACATTGTTTTTTTAGTATAAACATTAGGATATGGAATATTTAAGGATTTCTATAATATATTTAAAGTAGAAAATTCTGGTTAATCAACCTTTTAATTAAAAATAATATTTTTTTTAAATAATATTTTAAAAACATTTTTTCGAATAAAGTTTCTCATTAAACTCTTGTAAATTCTATAAACCTTCATTTTATACTTAAAATATAATTTAATATTTATAAAATATTAAGGTAAATCCTAAATTATTTTAATTTTTTATAAATCTTATTATTTATTAAAAATAATATTAATATAAATATTTAATATTTTTTATAAGTCTTGTTTTTGTATTATATTAATTTTTTAATATTTAAAACTATTAATATTATTAATTTATATAAATTATATTATTGAATTTTTGTTTTTATTAATATTATTAAATTATAAGAAAAGTTAATTTTTTTTTTTAAATATGAATAGTAAGCTATAAATATTAATCAAATTTATTTTAAATAATTATTTTATTTTATCTATATTATAACTTTATTATATTTTCTTTCTTTTATTTAATTCAATTAAAAAAAGATTATATTTTTATAATACTCTTTAGTTAAAATTAATTATTTTATTGTTTTTGATAAATATTTAGATAGCAATTATTTATATATAGACTCAAATTATTTTTAAAAATTTAAAAATAATTATAAAATGATTTTTTTTACAATTTAAACGATAAAAATTATTAATATAAATCAAAAAATAAAAATAAAAATAATTAAAAAAATAAATATTTTATATTATAACAAAATTATTAAAATTTAAATTTTTTTAATAAAAATGGTATATTATTAATAAATAATAATTTTATTTTATAAAATAATTAATTATTTAAAAAAAACATATATAATTATCATAAAGCTCGGGTAGCTCAGTTGGTTAGAGCGTGGGTCTAATAAACCCAAGGTCGAGGGTTCAATCCCCTCCTTGAGCATTTTTTTTTTCTTAATTTTTTTTTTTTCATTAAATAATAATATAAATATATTAATATTATTTATATATTAGCTATTTATTTAGTTATTAAAGCCTTTTATTATTTATTTGCTTTAAAATTATATATTGATTATACTAGCTTGTAATTTATATACACTTTTCTTTTTTTTTAAAAAAAAAATATATATTTTTATAAAATTAAAATTTAAGAATTCATATTTTTAAAAAAATATTTTTTATATATTTTTTGTTTTATTATAAATTCTTAAAAATCATAAGAAATATATAAATTATTGAAAAAAAAAGACATAAATATGTCTCGTTCAGCAGAAAATAACAATGAAGAATAATTAAAATAAATAACAGCGTATTTTTCTAAGAATTTTTCAAATATAATTATTAAAGAAAAAATTGGATAAGGTTCTTTTGGTGATATATTCAAAGCATTTGACACAAATTTAAACACTGAAGTTGCTATAAAATTAGAAAAAAGCGAAAAAGTACAATAAAAAAATTCTTTAATAAAAAAGGAAGGTTTAATATTAAAATAATTATAAGGGATTTCTAATTTTCCTTAATTATATGATATTTAAGTTAAAGAAAGTTAATAATATAATTACATTGAAATGTCTTATTTAGGACCAAATTTAGAATTATTGCGAAAAAAATAACCGAAAGGTTATTTTACTCTAAAAATAATATTAAAAATTGCCATATAAATGATTGAAGGACTTTGGGAATTACATAAAAAAGGAATAATACACAGAGACATAAAACCGGAAAATTTTGTTATTGGTTCAAAAGGAAACCGACACAAAGTACTTATTATTGATTTCGGATTATCGAAATAATATATCGAATAAAATTAACATATTCCAGAAAGAAAAAATAAAGGACTTGTTGGAACAGCAAGATATACAAGTATAAATTCCCACTTAGGGGTTGAATAGAGTAGAAGGGATGATTTAGAGAGTATTGCTTATTTACTAATTTATTTTGCAAAAGGAGCTTTATTATGGTAAAATTTGAGTATAAAAGAAAAAAATGAAAGGTTTAAAAAAATTAGCCAAATTAAAATGAGAACTCCTCATTCCAAAATGTGCGAAGGACTTCCAATACAATTTTTATTATTTCTAAATGATGTAAAGAGCCTTTGCTTTGAATAAGAACCAAATTATGAGAAATATTTAGATCTTTTTAATTGTTGTTTGTAAGAAAATTTTTCTTTTGATTTTTAATAAAATATATGTTATGATTGGTGTGGGAAAGATTGTGCTTAAAGAAAGTTTTCGATTAAAATTGCGAAGGCAAATCGGAACGAGGATGAAGAATAGAATGAATGTGACTTTGAAGAAAATAAATAGAATGATTATTCAATGGTGGGGAAAGTGCCTTGTTTTTTTTCAAAAGACAATTATTTGAAATTAAGTATTGATTTTGAAAATAGTAATATAAATAATTATAATTAAAATAATTTTAGAATTTATAGTAGAAGTAGTTCTTAGTTTCCTAATTAATATTCTAATGAGTGGAACTCAATATATGATGAAAAAGTTAAAGTATAGTAAATATAAGATATTTATAAAATTAAAAATATTAATAGTTAAAAAACTATCTATTGATAAATATTTTTATTAATAATATTAATTTTTTTTAAATAAAAAATTCTAGTATATTAATAGATTTAATTATTTATTTAAAGTATTTTTTTTTAAATGAAATATAATATTTAGATTTTAATTGCAAAAAATATATTATAAATTTAATAATATTATAAAAGTTATATGAAATTAATTTTATTTAGCAATTAAGATTTATTTTAAACAAAAAAATTTAAATTTAATATAAAAAACATTTTATTAAATAAATTTTAGTATATAATTAAACACAAATTTTTAAATAAATTTAAAATAAAACAAGAACATAATATATATTAATTAATTATAATTAATTTTTTAAAAGTATCAAAGTATCAACTAAGAATTTATTATTTTTTAAATTATTATATTTTTTATATATTTATAATTAAATTTATTACTAAAATTTTTAATTTTTATTATTGATTTAAAAAAAATGGATTTTTTAAAACTAAAAGAATTACTTCCAAAAGATCCCATAAAATGGAATATAGATGATATAAAAATTTGGCTTAATTTTATAGGATTAGCATAATATTATTAATTTTTTTGTAAATATTTATAATATAAATTAATTAATTTTTTTTTATAGAAATTAACTCTGTTGATGGTTCATGTTTAGTATCTCTTAACGAGACAGATTTAAAGGACGATTTATAAATATAAAATAATATACATAGGAAAAAAGTATTAAATTGTAAAAAAAGAACAAATATAGTTTTAAAAACTTAATTAATTTTATTATTTTAAAAAGGGTTAGATTTATTAAATGAATATTCACTTTTTTTAAAAAAAAACAATATAAATGAAAATTAAATTATAATGAGTGATTATCAAAAAATGCAAAAATAGTAAGAAAAAGAAGAATAAAAAATATAATTTGAAGATTTTTCATATAATTATAATAATAATTCGACAGCAATAGAAATAGAAAACAATAACAATATATAAAAAAAGCCATTAAGAATTCCTAATTGCGACATAAATGTTTTAAATTCATCTGAAGATGAAATAAAACAATTAAATAATATATAAGATAATATCGAAATTGAAAAAGATTAGATATAAAAAGAATTAGACTATGAACTTATAATAGAACCAGTAGATGGTGTTCAGGCCAATTTTTTCCGAGTAAAAGAATAAGGAGCAAAAATAGGTAGGCATTCAACAAATTAAATTTTAATTTTAGAAGAATCGATATCTAGATTTCATGCAGAAATCGAATTTTTAAATAAGGAATTTTATGTAAGGGATAAAGGATCAACTACAGGAACTTTTATAAAAATAAAGGAAAAATTGGAACTAAAATTAGGAATGGTAATAGAAATGGGATCAAATTAATTTTAAATTAGTAAAATTTTACTAGAACCAATTTAAATGATTTAATTAACGATATTAGAAGGCGTAGATTAATCAAATCTTCCTTATGATGTATAAAAAAAACAAATAATAATATAAAAAAAGATATAAAAGAATAAAAATATATATTTATATATATATATATATATATTTAAATTATATATATATTAATATATATATAAATATATATATAAATTTATATAAAAATCAATATTTATTTTTATATATAAATTCATGCACATATATTTATATTTACAAATATTTTATTAAATTAATTTTTTTAGTTATAATTTAGTTAAGAAATGGTTTTATAATGTGATTATGTTTCTATAGGAAGAAAAAATGGTTGTAAAATATTTTTACCTGATGACTAACATTTGTCTAGTATTCATGCTAAAATTTATTTTATTAATTAAAAATTTATTTTAGAAGATTAAGCATCTACTAATGGGTAAACATATTTTTTTAAAACAAACAATTTTTTAATTTTTATTAGTTCTTGGTTTAGATTAAGTAAAGAAGGATTAATAAGCGATCCTTATAAAATATCGAATAATGTAACATTTAAAGTTGGAACTACAAATACTTATAATTGCAAAATTAAATGTGAAGACAAAGTTTAAAATATAAATAATAATTCTTAAATAATAAATTAATTGTGTATTATTTGTTATGAAAATGATAGAAATATAATTATTTTGCCATGTAGGCACAATTCTGTTTGTATTGGTTGTGTTAAAAATATTTAAGTATGTCCTATTTGTAGGAATAAAATAGCTGATACAATAAAAATATATAAATCATGAAAATATTTTATTTCAAATAAAATATATTTTTAAATATATAAATAGTTTGTTTTATTAGTAATTTAGAAAATATAAAATGTTCAAATATAAAAAAATTATAAGTGTTTATAAAATAATTAATTATTCTTTTATATTTTAAAATTTTAAATATTATTAATAAAAAATAAGAAAAAAAAAATATAAACAAAAAATTTAAAGTAATGCCTAGAATTACAAAAGAGCTTTTAAGAAGCAGAAGTGAACATAATGAAATGTGTTTGAGTACATTAGAAGAAGTACAATAATTAAATTTTATGTTTTAACTTTTATTTTTAAAAAATAAAGATTACACTTCATTAATTCGAATTAGAAAAAATTGAATTATTAGATGTATATTGTCGCCATTTAAAAATATTATATTTATAGAATAATATCATTGAAAAAATGGAAAACCTTAATAAATTAAAAGAACTAGAATATCTAAATTTAGCACTTAATAACATTTCTAAAATCGAAGGAATAGAAGGTTGTGAGAGCTTAAAAAAATTAGACTTTACTGTCAATTTTATTGACTTAGAAAATTTAGAAGAATCCATGATAAATCTATCTAAATGTCCTTAAATAAAGGAACTTTATATGACAGGAAATCCAAGTACAGAGTAATTTTTTTAAAAATATATTAATATATATATATATTTTTTTTTAGTTGGGTTGGATATAGACCGTTTACAATTGCCACTGTACCTTAATTATAAACTTTAGATGGTAAAGAAATAACACCTGCAGAAAAAATTTAGGCAAATTAAATTTATGATGATCTTTTGGTAGATCTAAATTACTAAATAGAAATGAAAGCAATTAAAAAAAAATAAGAATAGGAAGAATAAAAAAAATAAAAATAAGAAGAAAATTAAAATGAAAATAAAGAAAATATTGATGATAAAGACCAAAAATAACCATATAACGTAGAAACAAGAAGAAAAATGTACTTAGATTTGGCAGCAGATAAAGAAAAACATGATCGAGAAAAATACCCAGAAAAATATAAAGATAAAACAAAACCAGTATCTTCCATGTTCAAACCAGATGGAGATATTAGGTAATGTAATGAAGGTAAATATAAATTTTCTTTGAGAGAATGGGACGATCCCGAATATTCTTTCTTTATAATTGAAGTTCCTAAATTTATGGATACAAGTTTTATAGATGTAAATTTAAATCCATGTTGGATTAGTGTTAGAATTAAAGGAAAATTACTTTAATTGAAATTAAATGAAGAAATTTAAGTCGAAAAAAGTGATATTAAAAGATCTTAATTAACTGGATTTTTGGAAATTAAAATGCTAAAAATGAAATTTAATCAAGCTTTGAAAGCTTAATAAGAAAAATAAAAAACTGAGTATATGTTTTTTATTTTATTTTATTTTGTTTATTTTTATTTTTATTTTTATTTTTATTTTTTTAGAAAATCTAAAATCGAAGATGAAAAAAAATAGAAAATTAAATTAGAAGAGGAAGAAAGAATTAAAAGATTAAAATTATGTGATAAAATAGAATAAAAAGCAATTTAAAAACAATAAGATTATATTACTTTTGATAAAATACCGGATTTAGAATGAATAATTAAAAATTATTTTTTATATTAAAAAAAATTATATATATTTTAATTTTTTTATATCAATTTGTTTATTAATATAAATTAAACGATAAAATTTATTTATTATTAGAGTTTTATTAATTTTAATTATTTATTATATAAGCGTTAGGTTTTTAACTTTCGATGAATTTTTTATATTATATTTTTTCTTAACTATTTACTTAATATGAGTTTATAGAGTCTATTTTTCTTTTAAAAAATAAATAAATAAAAATAATGTTAAAATTCTTTCTTACTCAAAAGTTGCAGAGTTGATTTTATGATGCTAAAAATTATTAATTTTTTTATTTTATTATAACTTTCTTCATTTATTTATTAAATTCTAAAAATATGTTATTCGAAATCTTAATAACTTCGACTTATAATTTATTTTATATTTATAAGTATTTTTATTTTTTAAAAAAATACTTATTCTTCTTTATCATTATTTTTTTATAATATTGATATTTCTTTTGATAAAAACTCATTATTTTATTCTAAAAAACTCGTCCTATTTATAAGATTTTATAAAATTTCTTATAATTAGTTTATTTTTTCAAAATTTTTTTTCGTATTTTTCATTTCATCTGTATTATCAAAAGTTGTTTCCATTTTTTTTTAATACTTATTATTATTGAAATTCGGATTATTACTTATTTAGTTCATTGCTTATTCAACATTTAAATATAATTAAGAATTATTTGATAATTTTTTTTATTTATTGATGAAAGGTCATTAAGTTCATTTTAATTCCAACTTTAATGTTTCTTCATATGAAACGAAGTTGCATGAGAAGAAACATTCTAAAAATCAATGGAACCAACAAAATCACAAATTTAATCAGGAAAATTTAACAAATTTTAGTTTATATTTAAATTTTTAAATATTTCGCTCTATGTTTTTTTCATTTTATCTTTTTATAAAATATTTTCTTTCTGATTTTCATGTTTTTAATTATTATTAACAAAATTTACTTATTTTTAATTCTGTATATTATTGCTTTTTAAATGTTTCTTTTATTAGTTTTTAATGTAATCTTAAAATTCGAATTCTGATTAAGTTTTTCTATGGTAATTCTTCATTTTTTAATAAAAATATTTAAGAACAAAAGCACTTTTTTTTATTTAAAAAGATATAAAAAAATTTTTGAGAAAGAAAATTACAAAATTACAAATTTAAATAATTTTTAATATTTATTTTATAAATTATTAAATTTTGAAGAATAAAAACATAAATGTATCCTTATTTTGCGCTTTTTTATATAATTTAAAAAAAAATTAAAAAAAAAGTTATAAAATTAAATATTAAAAATATATATATATTAGAATATTAAATATTTAGTTTATATAAATATTATTAATTAATATGCGATTAATTATATCAAAAAAATATATAAAATAACAATTAATTAGAAAAAATTAAAATATTTCATTTTATATTATCAATATCTATCTCAATTTAATCAAAAAAGTATTTTTCTTTTGCTTCTAAGCTCAATTATTCCCAATCTTTTTAATTAACAACAATAACTTCCCACAGAAGTAAATCTTGCATAATTTAAATTTTATTTTATATTTATAAAAGCATATTTCCATTATCTTTTTACGGCTCCCTATTAGAATAATGATGATCATTAATAATAAGAACTCCTATTTTCATCAATTCTTCATTATATTGAATAAAAAGGGCACAATCAATCACATTCAAGAAATCATCAATAAAGTTTTCTTTAATATAAAAATCTATTTTACCTTCTAAATAATCCATTCTTTTTTTCAAAAAATCTTATATTTCTACTTTTAATCCACTAAATTAAATCAAATCTCTTTTTGTAAATTCTTCTTTTAATGATTCATTTACAGTATTCACTTTTTCGAGTAATTCTTTAAATAGGCCGTCTTATTTTTTGGATTTTTATTTATTTTTAGTTAGGTTAGCATACATATGGTTTATATCCATAAGGGAAGAACCTAAAATGTCATCACATTTGGATTTAAAGAAAACATCGCTTCAAATGCATCAGATAACCAAAAATTTTATTTTTAAAAATATACGTCTTCATCATGTTAATCGATTTCTTAACTATTTTTAATAGTTTGTTCTAAAAGTAATGAACTCCAACAAATCCTTATATAATCTTCATGTGAAAAAAAGTATTTAATATCCCCATATTTCATTAATTCTTTTATTATAGGTATTAGAGGTAAAGCTTGTGAAAACTTCATATGTTGTGTAAATGAATATATTATTTTTGCAAAATAGGGTTTTGGAATTGAAGTTGGAGTTAATTATTATTCAATAAATGACAAAAATTCCGAAGAAGACCCGAAATTATTTTAACAAAAAGCATAATAAATTTAACAAGTTTCGTCTATTTTGTACTTGTATTGTGCTTTTTTGTAGTAGGAATATTCAAACTCTACAAAAAGTTTATCATATTCTTCTTAAATATTTCTTCTTTAGCCATCTTCATTAATTAAATGATATGGTGGAACTTCTACTAGTGTATAAAGGAAATTTAAAGCTTCTGAATATTTGCATTTTCCGATTTGGCTTTTCATGTATTTTAGTATGGGAGTTAAAAGCTGTTCGTTGAGGCTTTAAAAAGCGTTTCGTATGTTCATTCCTGTAAGAATCTTTACTAAGTAATGAGATTAGAATTTTTCTATACCAATTTCGAGGATTCTTTCTTCCAGTTTTTTATATAAGTCTAAACTTCCTATTTATTGAAATAAAAAATAATTTTAATAATAAAAATATGTATTATTTATAAAAAATATAAATTTTGTAAAAAAAAATATTTATTTTTAAAAAAATAAAATATGTATATTTTAATAAAAATAATCTACCTTTACAAACAAATGAAAATTAATAATAAGCAAACGCTACACCTCTTGAATTTAAAAGTTTCGCATTTTTCAAAAAAGACTTTTCAATTTAATCATAAAGTTCTTAATTACCTCTTCTTGCCCTCGAGTAACTCCAAAGAATAGTCAAAACCTACTAAGAAGTTAAAAAAGGTATTAATTTAATGGCATCAGCTTCTAATTTATGAAAAAGAGCCTTATCATTATACTAGAAGTAATGTTTTGAAGTATACTTGATTAATTTAACTAAATAGCCGGGTGGAATACCTCCCATATCATTTCCTGGATATTATTTCATCAACGATTTCTCCACTAATTCTAAAAAGGCATTACTTCCGATATTTTATGAAACAAAGTATTTTACAATTTTAATAATATCCTCAAAATCAGTCACTTCTAAAATATTTTTTAATTTATCTTCAGCTATTTTATATACACCGAATCCCCCTTTTATATTTTCATTAGTTTTACTAAAATAAAAGGCATATTTTGCCAATTCTAAAGGATGAATTTCATGTTAGGCAATTTTTATGGTATTTGCAAGTGAATTATATAAAGTTGCAGAACCTAAATTTGAATGTGAAAATCCTTCCAAAAGTGTACCTACTACTCTGTAGTTTACAACGTCTAATTCTCGTTCAAAAAGTTCGTTTTCGATTAATCGGAAAAAATCTGGATTGCTACGATTCGAATGGGCATATAGTTTCACTGTACGAGCGATTTCTTCAATAGACATATATTTCAATCGTCTTTAGAATTCATTTTCAAAGGAATTCCATATTGATTTGCACATTAATTTTATTTCTTAAGGAAGATTATTTTTTTGTTCATTCTCATTATCTGAGTTTTCATCTTATTTATCTTTTGGAGTTTTCTCGTCTTTTTCTTTATATAGAGTTGTGATATTTTCCTCTAAATTATATATTTATTTTAATATTCTTAAAGCTTGGAATGTTGGAATTGTTTTTATTCTCCTTTTTATATTATCTTTCCATAATGAAGTATTGATTGGAAGTCTATTTTATATTTAATGTATTAATATATCTTCCGGTGTTTCAGTTGCTTTTTGGACAGCTTTATATACATCAGTTTCAGTTAATGTATCAGAATATGTAATAATTTAATATTTTTATTTTAATTATTCTTTTTTTTCAATTTCATCTAAAATTTTGGAAATTTAGTTAATTTTTTAAGGATCTTTTGTATTTTAGATTTATAAAATTAAATTATCAAGTAATTCTTCTTCTTACTTTTAATTTTATGCATTTTTTTTGGGATTTTCTATTTATTTTCCAGTAGGTTTTATTTGTTTAGTTGAAAATTAATAAAATTAATAAAATTATATAAAATTTCTTCTTAAAAATTTAATATTATTCATTTATTTATTTATTTTTATTATTTTTGTTTTTTATAATTTTATGTTTATTTGTATATTTTTTTAAAGAAAGATATTTAATTTATAATTATATTTTTAAAATACAAATAAACTAATTTATAAATAAATATGTATTTAAGAATATATAAAAAAATGTTTAAAAAATTTTATTATATATTTTGATTCTTGAAATTTTTTTTTATTTTTTAAACCATAATGACATTCGATTTTTAATATTTTATATTTAATAAAATAGTAGTAATTTACACATAGATTTCTTATTTAGATTATTAAATTTTTATACATAATTTAAGATTATTGTCAATTATAATTTAAATAAGTTTAATTGTAAATATTATATTTTAATAATCAAATATTTATAAAAATAAAAATACTTATTTGTGGTATATTTATTATTTCTTTTACTAAATATAATAAAGAATATTTTATGAGAATTATTTTTGTGATGATTTAATTTTAAAAATTAAATATATTAATGTTTTTATATTTATTATAAAAAATAATATATTTTTTATTTTTTTATATTTATGTTGTTTTTTTATATATAAATTCACTTTATTTTGTTAATTAGTTTTTAAGAATTTCTTTTATTTTTAAATTTAATTTTATTTTAAAAAAAACTTGATATAAATTATTTCATTTAGAAATAAAGATTTGAAAAAGTTAAAATTATTTTAAATGAACAATATACGAAGAATTTGGTTAAAAACTAATTTTAGTACTAATATTTGGCGGATTATAGGAAAAATAATGTTAATTTTATGAGGTTATTCATTATAGATTGCTTAAGAAGGTATATTTTAATTTAGTTAAGTATTTTTTTATAAAATTAAATTGCTCATTCATTATAAATTGAATATTTTGGAATTATAAAATTATAATTTAAAGGGATTTTAATTTATTATGATTTTATTAGAATAATCAAATAAGTTAAAACTTTTGAAATTTTGTATTAAATTTCGATTTAGTTAAATTAAATGCAAAACAATTCTTTTAAAAGTATTAGATTAATTTTAATTAATAATTATTATTTTGAATTTAAAATAATATAAAATTTAAAAAGTTTTATAAGAAAATTTTTATTATTTTTAGCTATTTAATTATAAATTTTTGATAAAACCATTATTTAATATATATTTTCTAAAAAGATTGATTTATATAAACTATTTATAAATTATTGTGTTATTATTTTATTAAATTACTAAAAAATAAAAAAAAAATTATTTATTAATAAAATTATTATATAGTTTGATTAATATTTATAATTTAATAATTTTTATATTCAGTAAATTTTTAATTTTTTAAGCATAAAAATTTAAAATAATTGAGTTTTTTTATATATTTATTAGAAATAAAATCAATATAAATATAAATATTAATTAAGAGCTAAATAAACAAAATAGTTTTTTATTTATATTTTATTATAATATAAATATAAAATTACAAAAAATATTTTAAAATATTAATATATTAGTAGAGTATATATAATTTTTTATATATTTAAATACAATGTGTATTATAAACAACAAAGCAAGTAATAATTACTAATTTTTATGTTTACTCAATAAAAAAGAATTTTTAAATCGTAAATTATAAGTAGAATCTAAACTTAATAAAAATATAAGCTTAAATTTCTATTTATTATCTTTTACTTTTATAAAAAGGTTATATTCTAAAAATGAATTAAAATAAAGGCTTTTTATATATAAAAAACAAAAATAATAATATAATCTAATTTATATACAAGCATATTTTTTTATTTATAAATAAAGAAATTTAAAATATAATTTGAATAATATATAAACGATTATTTTGTTTAACTTATTATTTATTTTTAGATTCCTTTTAATTAATTTTATTTATTTATATTATTATATATATAAATTAAATTATTTTTGGGAAGTTTTATCATATAAACTAAATTTTAAATAAGAATAAAAATATATGTGATATATCTTTATTTTAATTACACTTACATATATATATTTAAGTCACAGTATTTAGTATATAATTAATAATAAATAAAAAAAGATATTTTTTTCTAATTAAAATATTCAAACAAAAAATGAAAGAAAACAGTCCTGTAAAAGACTAAATCAGAAAATAAATAAAAATAGACGAATAATAGGATGAAGATGATTGTTAGATAATTTAAGTTATAAGTAAATCATATTTTATATATCATTAAACTTTAATCAAATACATTGAATCATGAATACAAAAATAATGTTTATAAATTTGATTTTTTTTAATTTATATTTTTTTTTTTCAAAGTAAATATCAAAAAGCAATAAAAAAATATTATTAAAATATAGGAAACGAAGTTAAGAAACCAAGCATTAAATGTAAGGCATGCAAAAAAAGTTCTAATCAAAGTAATCTTGTTTAATGTACTTAGTGTAATCGACATTTTCATAAATAATGTGTAAATTATTCACAAAGCGAAAAATTTTTATGTGATTATTGTTAGTAAATAAAAAAAAATATATATATATATATATATATTTAATTATAAATATATATATAAAATACATATATTTTTATTTTAATTTTTTACTTATTTTTTAAAAATTACTCTCTAAATAATTATTTTTTTTTAACACATTTTTAATATTAAAATATTATTAACTCTTTACATTTTTAAATTTAAAATTTTATTATATATTTAATATTTTTATTTTTTTATAGACAAAAAACATCTAAAACTATACAAACAAATTCGCATGAAACAAAAGAAATAAAGTACAAAGAAAATTCATATAAGAGTTTATAAGAATTTTGTTAAAAATAGTAAATAAAAATTATAAAAAATATTTTACTGATTTTTTATTTTTTTCTGTAAAATAATATAAAAAAGCCCTTAATATGTAATTGATGGAAAAGTAAAGTTTCCTATTGAAGATACTTTATTAACAATTTATGATTAAGCATTTCCTGATGCATTAGGTTTATAAAAGGTTTAATTTTTTATATATAAAATAAATTATTTGTAATATTACTTTTTTATATTAAAAAATATATAAAGAGACCACATCCTAGACATTCTAATTTAATTCCAAATGAAAATTATGAAGATATTTTAATGTTTTGGAATTTTATTAATTCTTTTAATGATTAAATAGAAAATATAAAAATTACAAAAGAATAATTATATGTACTTTTTGATTATTAAGGAAAAGAAGGAAGATATATATTAGACAAAATTATAAAAAATCTTGTAAGATTTCCTGTATAGGATATATTTTATACTAATAAAATCGAATGCAATAAAGAACTTAGTGATTAACCCTTTTTTATTGTTTTGAGATTTTTAAAAGAAATAAATTTAATTTAGGATGTCATTAATTAAATTTGGCCTGAATTTTTAAGAAATTTGCATTATTTTTAATAATATTCTATAAATGTAAAAAAATTGAAAAAATATAAAATTATATAAAAATATAGTTTAAATGCAATGAAGAATCCTTAAATGAAGTTTTATAATTATTAGAAAAACCTAATTTTAATAGTTTTTATGAATTTACAACCAAATAAAAAATAAAAGTAAATTTTATTTTATATATTAAATATTTTTTATTAAAATTTATAGTTTTTTGGTCTTATATTAGCATGTGTTGATGATAGTGATTCTTTCCATGATGGAGTAATGGCCGTCCGTTAAGAAAAAGTACATGAAATGACAAAAGAGCGTAATGATTTATAGATTAGCATTCGAAAAGATGAAGGTGAATTGCTTTCTTGTGAATTGAAATTAAAAGAATTATAAATCACTGTAGAAGCAGAAGAAGAATAAAATAAAACAAAGAAAATAAAAGAAATAGAAAAAACGAAATAACTTTAATAAAAACTAAATGCGAATTTAATCAAAAAAAAAACAAGGCAAGCTTTTTTAATTTAAAATTTACCTCATTATGTAAATACAGCTTAATTGTTAGGTTTTGACCATAATAAATCTGAATATTGGGTACTATATTAGATAATAATTTTTTTAAATTTTTTTTTAGTTTTTCTTCCATGATAATAAGATTATTTATTGTAAATATAAATAAAGTATGATAGATGATGAAAAAACATGGACTTGTTTTAGTTCTAAATAAGAAGTTAGAGATTTGATACTTAGTTTGAATAGAAAAGGAATTAGAGAAAAAAAATTATATGAGAATATTATTTCTTTGATAAAAAATAATAATTTCAATTTCGATATTGAAGAATTAAAAAAAAAAGGAAAAGATTAAAATGAAGAAAATTCTTAAGATTAACTTTTAGATGAAAATATCGAAAATATTGAAAAATGGATTCTTAATTTTGAATAAACTCCCTAAAAAAAAAAAGCTTAATAAGATAAATAAATGTAAGCCAATTTTGAATCTATTAAAGAGTATCTTTTTTAAGCTGAAAATTCTTACACAGAATTTTTACAAAAGAAAAATTCGAGATGGCAAACAAAAATTAATAGAGAAAAAATTGTAATTATTTTTTAAAGTATATAATATTTATATATTTTTTTAGAAAAATGATATAATGTTATGTAATGATATAAATTAATTTAGTGATTTTTTAGAGTAATTAAATGATTACTTTTGTTAAGTTGATTATTTATATGTAAAAGAAAAGCCAATTAATGAACTTGAAAACGAAGAAAATTCTAAAAATTTAAATGAAGATAATTAAATTTAAGAAAAACTTAATTTTAATTAAATAGAAAACCATCCTAATGCTAAAATTAGAAAAATACCAAGTAAAAAATACTTTTTATTTAAATTTAAAAACAAATTAAAAGTCAAACTTTGGGGTATTAATAATGAAAAGCTAAAAAAAAATTGGCTAAATTTACCGATTGTAAATATGTTGAGTTTATATTTAAAAACTATTGTACTCATAAGTTTAGTTTAAAGGCATGTATAGACCTAACCTGCTAATTTGAATAGAAGAGGAGGCATAAAAGCAGTTAAAAAAAATTAAAAGTATTCTTCTTCTTCTTAATTTGATGAATAAGAAGATGATTTTAATAATGAAGAAGATTATTATTAAGGAAAAAACACCAACAATAATAATAATAATAATAATAATAATAATTCAGAAGATTATGAAGAAGAAGAATTCGATTATAAAAAAAGGACTACACGAAGAAATTATATTGAAGAGGAAAGTATTAGTGAAATTACTGAAGAAAATAGTGAAGATAACCAAATTTTAACATGTGGTATTTGCAATAAAGAAAAAAATATTTTCCCATGTGAATAATGTGAATAATATTATCATTTAAAATGTTTAGGTTTAAAAGTAAATTTTTAATATCTTTTTAGTATTTATTTTAAATAAAAAAATTAGTAAAGTAACAAAGATTTTGTTTGTAATTAATGTAAGTAAAAAAAAGAAACTTAAAGATAAACAAGAAGTTAAATAAAAAAGTAAATTTAAAAGAAAAGATATTGAAATATATTAAAATTTTTATATTTTTTTTTTTAATTTTAATATTTATGAGGAATATATTATATATTTTTAAGAAAAAAATAATATAATAATATATATATATTAATTAATTAATATATTTTTTTTATATATATACTTTATTTTAATTAGTTTTTATTTTAAATATATAAATATAAGATAAATATATGTATTTTTCAAAATTATTCATCTTCTTCATCTATTCGGCTTAATAATTTATCTATTTAACTTTTTAATACATTATATAATTATTAAATTGTAAATTCATCTAAATCTAAAAAAAAAAAATATATGTATAATAAATAGATTTGTACTATGTAATTTTCCAAAATCAATAGCTAATTTATGTGGATTATCTCCTTCATTTACAATTATTCTTTCTGTTTGTCCATTTTTAATAATCACGTCTACAAAAAGAAGTGGTGTTTTTAAACTTTCATCATGATTATTTTTAATCGATTTATTACTATAATATCCTCTTTATTATAAATTATTTATCATTTCTTTTTCTTTTCTTGCATTTCTTAGTCTTTAAATGACCTAAAAGATAAATATTTATAACCATATAAAATAAATATTTAAAATTAATTATTTTACTTTTTCAGAATTTTTCGGATTTTAAGATTATTTTTTAAATTTATTTTCATATAATTCAGGGCGAAAAGTGCATTAATTTTTTTGTTTTTCATATTCAATATCTAGAGTCGTTTTATTTTTGTAAAAAAATTTATTTTATTTGCTTATATTATATAATTGTTCAGTTTTTTTAAAAGCAAGCGCTTATTTATCTCTTTTATTTTCGATTTGATTATTTAAAAAAGGTGAAAAAGTACATTCTTAAAGTTCTTCTTTCTCTTTTTGTTATTTTTTTAGTATGTTTTATTCATAAATATGTTTTTTAGACAGCATAAGTAAATCATAATGTGAAATTTACCCTTCCTTATCTCCTTTGAGTATATTTTTTTATTTTTCTCTATATTATTCGGCTAGTATTTTGGATGTATTAGATATTTTTTTGTTAAAAATATTTTCTTAATCAAAATTTTAGCCTCTCTGCAATTATAATTCTTCCTAAAAAAGCCTATTTCTATAAAAAACATCAAAAGTTTCTTTCAAAATTTTCCTTTGATCTTCATTTTTAACGTTCCAAAATCCCCTTTAATCAAAAAAACCCAATTTAATATCAATTTTTTATCCTTAAAATTAATTTAATAAAAATTCATTAGCTTAAATACATTAAATTTAATTATTTTATTCAATTTTTTCTTCATTTTTTTGTGAAAATTAAAATATACTATCATCATATATATTTAATATTATTTTTAAAAAATTAAACAAATTTTATATTTAAATTTTATTTTCAAAATTTATTATATTCCAAACTAAAAAAACCAATTTTTTTTCCTTTTCAACTAATGTATTTTCTTTAAATGTTAAAAATCCGGTTTTTATAAGAATTTCGAATAAATTTGCTAAATCTATGTCATTTTCTTATGATAAACAAACTGTATTTAGCACTATATTAAGCTCTTTTTTAAATTTATTTAATACTAGTTCTTCATTTTTATAATTTTTGGGTTTTTGTGTCTTTTTAGTTTCTTTATGGAATGAAAAATGTCTTCTTTAAGCATCTTTATATAAAATTTCATCTACTTTTTATATTCTTTTTATTGATTTGGACTTGGGTTGGATTTCAGGGTGAAATGTGCATTCTTTTTATTCATAAAAATTGTTTTTTTTCTAATATAAATATAGGCGATCATATATATTTGGTTCTTTTTACTAAAAAAGCCGTTTTTTTTTGACGATTTTTTATGAGTTTTTTGATATTTAGGGTTTTTGAAAGTTTTATTATATTTCTTCCATCATTGATTTTTATTAAAGCTTTTATTTATAAAAAAAAAATAATGCATTTCTTTTTATAAATAAAATTAATGCATTTTTTTTACTATTTGTGTTTTTTCTTTTTTATATTTTTAGTATAAATTTTAATGTTCTATAAACTCATCAAATGTGCGATTTACATGATTTGAGTTGATTTTTGGTTAAAAAGTGCAATTTTATAATTCCCTTTCTTCATGGTTTTAATGAAAAAAAGAATGTGATTTTTATTTTTCCATATTATTTTTTTTATGTTAACTAGTATTTGGTGTTCTATTCTGTTTTATTTTTGTAGTTTAGTTAATTGAATAATTTTTATTTTAACTATTATATATAGGAGCTTTTGATCTTTATGAAAAATAATTTATTATGTTTATAGTATTTTTTTGGTTTGAATTTGGGGGTGATTGTATTTAAACTAACGTTTCAAGCTTTTTTGATGAGTTATAAGAAAATATTTTATTTTCTTCAATAAAGGAGAAATAGCTGTTTTTCATTTAAATTTTTTGTTTTAATTAATTATATTGTTTATAATAATATATATAATTTTTTTATTATGCTTAGTATAAATGAAATAATATTTTTTGAATAATAAAAGGAATAAAGGATATTAATTAAATTAAAACAGTAAAAAAATACTTATTGATAAGTATTAATTACTTAAAAATAATTTTTATATATGAATTATAAAAAAATAAACAAAAAAAGAAAATAAAAATAAAAAATAGTATTTTAATTTTATTTATATTATTATTATTAAAAATACAATAGCTATACTTAAGAAGTGTTAATATATTTATAATACTGTATAACTATTTATAAATAAGATTCGATATTATATTTATATTTTTATTAGTTTTTATAAAAAAAAATTATTAAATTTAGTTTGAATTAAAAGATTATTAGCAAAAATTATTTATAATGGATATTGTAAAATTAATATTAGTCTTTTTATTTTAAAAAAATATTTATAAATAATTAAAATTATCTTAAATTTTATTTTTTATTTTTTAATTATAAATAATTTTTTTTAATGAGTATAAATAATATATAAGATTTTATTGCTGATAAGAAGTTAAAAGATTTAGAATGGAGATTTGCAAGTAAAATATAAATAATTTTTTACGGTCATATTTTATTTATTTAGTTGCTACATCAAATAGTTCTGTTTCATAATATGGAGATTGTTTTTTATAAATTAAATTAGTTAC